TTATAGAGAAAGGGCAAATAGTGATATTAAAATATTTCTTCTAATTAATTTCCTTTCAATGTGCATGAATTCGTGCACTGGGCCACTGGTTTTTATATAAAAATGTAGAGCTATGCTTTCATTTATTAAAAGTTGAAATAAATTATATGTATGTCATTTCAAAATGAAAGCACAAGTAGATACGGCCTTGTGAGCATGTAATTTAAGCATCAACACATAAAGTGATAAAAACTTCTGAAGGCCCCCTAAAGAACCTTTCTTACCTTCTTGCCTACAAAAGAGATTAAAATTGATTTTCTCTAAATTTATTCTAGTGATTATCAAAGCAGTTTATACTCTTTTTGGAAGTGGCACAAAATTGATAATCCATTTTTTCCATTTGAATACATATGCTATATCTTGTCATTCCAAGGTACTGAGGTAAGTATAGCAAGTTGTCTTTGTTTTCTTTTTAAAATCAGAACACAAACCTATTCAGTAACAAGAAGGTGTTCAAGGAAAAGTTTGCTTCGTGGTCTAATTCCACACTGCAATCCCAGGGCTGAGAAACCTGAAAGGCTCTTCAGTTTTGCTGGAAGCACATAAATCACCAACACTCTGAAACGAAACTGGACCCTCTTTCCTCTTTCTGGGTAAAGAAATGTTGTGCCAGATTATATGTCACATTCTATCAATTTTCAGTCTTATGGGACTTGAGCAGCCTCCTCTTCTCTTATCCGGATCTTGTTTAAACGAAATAGAATATTACTGAACTTTACTAGAGCACTCAGCTGAGCACACAGCCAGACTCAAATGTTTGCTGAGCGAATGCGCACAACTTGATATCACTAAGGGGGGAAATGAAATCATCCTAAATCATGCCCACATCATGACCCAAAGTTGAATATACTCTGATTGATGGACACACATACACACATGTGCGAGTAATAGTTGTTTCTGGTTTTTTGTTTTGTTTTTCTTTCAAAAATAGTCACCATTGAGTTAGTGAAAATAAGCCCCCTGCTTCCTGTGCTTGGCAGCCCGGAGCTGGGGTACCAGGAATGGAGCTGGGGTACCAGGAGCAGGGACCAGGCCTGTGCTCCATCGGACGGGGCTCCTGTAGTCCTAAAGCAGCTCTTGCTCCCCCTGATGCCCCTCCTTCCAGCCGCTGCCGCCCCCAAGGCCGGTCCAGGCCTTTGTTCTTACCCTCTAATGGCTCCACACAGGCAAGTCCAGTGCCTGCCCCGCCCCACTGCCTGGCAGCAACATTAGCAGCAGTAAGGAGGGCAGGAACCCAGAAAGAAATGGGGCGGGGTTCTTCCCTGAGTTCTGACCATCCTCAGGGCTCTGCCCACCAAGCTCCCTAGCTCTCACCTCTCCTCGGTCCTCTCCAGGCACCCCACCCCAACCAGGTGACCAGGAAGTAGAGCCCTGCAATCTGCATTTTAAAAAATATATTTTACTGATTTGAAAGAGGAGAGGGAGATAGAAACATCAATGATGAGAGAGAATCACTGATCAGCTGCCTCCTGCATAGGCACATCCCACACTGGGGATCGAGCCCACGGCCTGGGCATGTGCCCTGACCAGGAATTGAACTGTGACCTCCTGGTTCACAGGTCAATGCTCAACCACTGAGCCACGCTGGCCGGGCACGATCTGCCTTTTTAAGATTCCTCAGCCGAGTCCTCTGCAGCTGAAGTCCGTTCTCTCCTCCTCCTCCTCAAGGAGTGAGAGCAACACTTGGAGCCAGGGTGGGCTGCGTCTCCGGGCCCTGTGCTCACCTGCAGCCAGCGACATGCCTTCCCAACCCACACATTTCCACCTGGGAATTCATTCTCCCCGACACGTGACTCTGTAACTAGCATGTGCTTTAAGCGACACAGCACCTTCCCCGGCTCTCCTGATTCTCACAGCAACCTGGAGAGGAAGGACAACGGGCACGAGGGGGTTTCTCCGAGGCACACAGCTGGCAGGGGCAAGCACTAGGGGACCCAGGACTTCTGACTCCAAGCCGGACAGAGCTGCCTCCTTTCCCATCTGTGGGCATAGGATGACCTCACCTAGTGACAATGTTATATGGAGAAATGCATTCTAAGTCCAAAAGACTTGTGAATTTTAAAAATACAACTTATTCCTAAATTGAGGTTAATCCATGCTTAAAATACTCTAAAGAATTTTAGCCTCCCTAACCCTCAAGTGACAAAATGACAAAAAGAGGTTAAGGACGTCCCTTCGATCTATTAGACAAGGTTTTCAAGTCAGCCTTGACAATTCTACACATAAACCCTTCCTGCTGTGACTAACAACTTCTGATTGTTCTCAAGCATCCATTC